CAGAGGGGTCCTTAGCTGCCCTCTCACTGCTGGAGTGGGCCTTCCTCTGATCATGGCCATACGGCTTTTTCTCTCATCCTCTGACTCCTCTCATCCTCTCCCTAACTCTGGCCCGTCTTGACCTCTGCCCAGGGCTGCTCATATGGCCTTAACTTGTCTTTCTCCCTTTAGTTTTTCTGCTACTGTTCTCCTCACTGAAATGATCTTTCTGTAACTGACATCTGATTATTTCATTGTCCTGTTTAATACTTATCTGTGGCTTCCTGTTGCCTTCTAGATTCAGTCTATACCTCTCAACCTAGTACACCTGGGCCTTGCTTGCTCTTTGGACCATCTTGAAGCAACTCCACTAACATCTGCTTTGCACCAGCAGTCTATTCTATCTACATGTAGCCCAATGAGCTACTTTCAGAAGATGGCCATTTGCTCTCATTTTTTGGAGAGCTACTTTCAGAAGATGGCCATTTGCTCTCATTTTTTGGAGTTTTTACAAATGCTATTCCTTTTGTTTGTCTTGCCCTGCATGTTCTTTGGCCGTGCTTCTCAAACTTGAGTGTGCTTCGTATCACCTAGAGGCCTTATTAAACCACAGATTCCCGGGTCCCACTCCAGAACTTGATGATTCAGCAGATGTAGGGTAGAACTCACGGTTCTCTGTTTCTAGTAAGTCCTCAGGTCATGCTGATGTGGGTGGTCTGGAGACTGTACTTTCAGTAGCGAAGTTCTAGAGTACCCTGTCTTGCCACAGCACTTCCTTCACTGTCTTGAGATTGCCTGTTTGTCTTTCTCCCTCATGAAACTCGAGGCTTCCTTGAAAAAAAGAATCTGCCCATCAATGTAGCCAGAGCCTCTAGTGTCTGAAATATGCTTAATGATCAGCAAGTATCTGTTGAATGAATGAATGAGTGGATCACTGTTGCTGCAGCAAAGTTCAGATCATTTTACTTCTTGTAGATCAGTTTTCTTTTCGACTATTTCAGCCTAAGGATATGTGGAATGTCATCTACCCCTTCCGTATGTCCTCACCTGTCCCTGAAATACTCACTTAATGGATATGGAACATGAGAACTCCCATAGAGATCAGAGACCATGGACGAACTGTAGGAAGATAGACGTGGACTTCTTTTGATAGATCCAAAACTTTAAGTATGAAATAGACTCCTAGGTTTTCTTTCATTAAGCACAGCACACAGTAGTGTTTCTGCACTTCTTTTAATATAAGACATACACCTGAACTTCCTAGAGCACATCAGTCAGTGGAGCTCACACTGCTTTTTGGTATCTGTGATGTACCTGCTAGGGACTGTATGTAGAATAAAGGAGTACATCATATGGTTTTGGTCTGCCAGGTTGAAACCTGAGTGATGATATTTAAGAGCACTTGCAATGTTCATACTGTGTGGTACTTATCATAAGAACTCATATTTTTAACATGGTTAATTACTGGGTTTATTAAATCAGTTAAAACCACACAGTGAGAAGCAAGGGGAAAGAGAACGGGGGGAGGCGGGCACATTTAGTGCCAGCCAGGAGAAGGGCCACACTGTGTTCTGTACGGGTGATACAGTGTTCATACGCCCTCTCTTTTTGTTGTAAGGCTTTCTTGGTTTGAGGAAGGAGGAACTCTCCTTGCCAGCTTAAGACTTCTGAAAAGGAGGAGGGCCGTAGTTTTCATGGAATCCAAGAAATGAGACCAGGGGTGGCCCAGTGGCCCTGAGGAGTGGGAGTTCTCGGTTTCTTGGTTATTTGTGCCTGTTTTGCCATTCACAGGACTTGCCCTAGGTTCGTTGCATTTTCTTCACTATCTGCTTTTCTTGGCTGCCGCCAGCTGTCCTCCTGTTTTTTCCTTTCTTTCTTTCTTTCTTTCTTT